AATTGGTGGCTGACTAAATACTTTTTTTCCCCACTGTATATGCTTATTATTGACTTTTGTGTCCATAGGGTCAGAGACGTCAGCAGAAACTGGGCAGTAAAGTCGCTCTGGACTCTCTGACCAATCAGAGCACAGCTAGCAGCACCGATCCAGCAGACGCCTCCAATCAGAGTGTATCAGTAAATGGCAGCGTTGATGCAGAATCAGGTGAAAACATCCAGGAGCATTTGAGCCTTGAGAAACCTCCTGCATGCTCACAAAATGAGGATGAAGACGACGAGGAACCCGAGCAAGAGCATGCTACTTCTGTCAACAACCGCTTCACTGCCTTATCTGAAGACCAGACCACTGAAGATGTGTCTGTGGAGGGAGAAGAAATAGAAGATGTGAATGCAATTGAGAAAGAGGACTGTGCTCACCAGCTTTGTGATGAAGAGGATCAGTTAGTAGAAGAACTGAATGCTGTGTCACTAAAAACAGCTTCAGAAGATGAGATGGAGAATGGAGATGAGGCCTCGGGTGATGCTAAAGAATACACAGTGGTGAATCAGGACCCAGAGCTGGCCTTTCAATCACTGGCCAGCAGGGCGGCGCCAGAGAAGCAGGAGTGTTCGGTGGAGTCCTGCCTGTATCAGTTCACTGAGGTGGAACATCTCACAGAGAACAACAGACTGATGTGTGTCACCTGCACAAAACGCCAGTCTGGACATAAAGCCGCAGACGGTACCGTGCTCAACTATTACCCTAGTAACAGCTGTTTTAGCTCCCTCTTGTCTCTGTTTTAAACTCAGCCCAGTTTAGGGTTCAGAAACTTTTTGTCACTTAGAACATATTTATCCCCTGAAATTTTAAGTTACTTAGTATTTCTATAATTTAACAATACTGGTATTGTTAATGATATTGGTTAATGGTTGTATGACATTCAAATGAACACACATATCACAGTTTTTTCCCCCTTTTATTCTACAGTGGGGCTGCATGACTTATTGTGATTATTTTGTCATATATTATGATTTCTACATATATCCACTGCTGAGACAAAAAGAACATAAACTCTGTTACTAATGGAAACAGTAACTTTTACATTTTTTTTTGGTTCGATCTCTAGATAGAAGAGACAACTAACACTACAAGTTACAATAGAAATATGTATTCTTCCCTTTCAAATGTTCAAACCCTTGAGCTTTTGACGGCAATGTTTTTGCGAATTTAAATATTTTGCAGTATAAATGTTTGAGCTATTTTCTAACATCTCATTTTGCGA